GCAGGGAGAGGATAAGGTGAAGAGGACCAGGAGAGGATAAGGGTGAAGAGGACCATGGGGAGAGACAGTGTGAAGAGGAACTGTGAGGCTGGGTGAAGAGACCAGGGAGAGGATGAAGAGACCAGGGAGAGGATACAGGGTGAAGAGGACCAGGGGAGAGGAGGGTAAGGGGTGAGGGGAGAGGACCTGGGGAGGGATAGGTGAAGAGACCAGGGGGAGAAATATGTGAGGAGGACCTAGGGGAGAGGACAGGTGTAAGAGGGACTAGAGAGGATAAGGGGAGAAGGGGACAAGGTAGGAGGACGTGGGAAGGTGAAGAGGAACCAGGGGAGAGGATAGGGGAAGAGGACCAGGGGAGGATAGGGTGAAGAGGACCAGGGGGAGGATAAGGGTGAAGAGACCAGGAGGAGGCAAGAGGGAGCAGGAGGGGAGGGTGTGAAGAGACCAGGGAGAGTGATAAGTGTAAGAGGACCAGGGGGAGAGGGGACAAGGTGAAGAGACCAGGAGAGAAGGAGGAATGGGGAGAGGACAGGGGAGGGATGAGGGGAGAGAGGGACCAGGGGAGGGATAGGTAAGAGGACAAGGGGGAGGATAAGGTGGGGGTGGGAGGACAGAGGGGAGAGACAGGGAGGGGTGAAGAGACTAGGGAGAGGAGGCGTAAGGAGGACCAGAGAGGACAAGGTGAAGAGACCAGGGGAGAGGATAAGGTGAAGAGGACCAGGAGAGGATAAGTAAGAGGACCAGGGGAGAGATAAGGGTGAAGAGGACCAGGGAGAGACAAGGGTGAAGAGGACCAGGGGAGAGGATATGTAAGAGGACTAGGGAGGACAAGGGGTGAGAGACCAGGGGAGAGGATAAGGTAAGAGGACAGGAGGACAGAGAGGACTAGAGGAGAGTGTAAGGAGGACCAGGGGAGAGGATATATGTAAGAGACTCAGGAGAGGATAGTGTAAGAGGACCAGGGAGGGAAGTGTAAGAGGACCAGGGGAGAGGATAGGTGAAGAGGACCAGGGGAGGAGGGGTAAGAGGGGGGAGGAGAAGAGACCAGGGGAGAGGATAAGGGGTGAAGAGGACCAGGGGGAGAATAAGGGTGAAGAGGACCGGGGGAGAGGATAAGGGTGAAGAGGACCAGGGGAGAATAAGGTGAAGAGGACCAGGGGAGAGGATAAGGGGGAAGATGAAAGGAGAATATGTGAGGAGATAATAACTTACACTTCATACCGCGTGAGAAGTTAACACACGCATGCCCACACACGTTGGGCCCCGTGCACCTAGCCCTCACCACACCTTTTGCCATTGCCTACATACCGTGCCTGTGGATGTTAAGCATTAAACTGTGGCGAATTATGATTATTTTTTTTTTTTTGACTCTTGACTGTCTTAGAAAATAAATAGCGCGAAATTTGTGAAGGTTTAAGTGAAAGGTGATAATTTAACCAGTAGAAAACGGTAATGGTGTTTTTGCTCCAACATCTCTCGGTGGTCTGCAAGTTTAAGGCGCTATTCAGTGTTTCAGAGCTGGCATTACCGTGTTTGTGAAGACCTTTGGCGTTTCTCTGTGTGAAGAAGACGGTGGTAGTACTGTTTGTGGTGTAGGAATTCATGTGTCGCCAACTGTGAACTGAACCTTGACAGTGTCAGCTGAGGGTTGCAGGTTCACCTAACACTGGATATTTTAGTCTCATAGACATACTGTAAACATTTGTACATTGACACACCAACCACTGAACCCTTAGCAGATGGTCATAATAAATTGAGAGATGATCATAATTATCGTACGTGTGTATACTTATTTTATTAGTCAATAGTAAAAATAATAATTATATATTTATTTATTATTGACCCGTTCGTCCGTCCGACCGTCCGTCCGTCCTAACCCAATATTGTCATCAGGTAAAGTGAAACATTCGTCGTTGATAAATAACTAATTCAATACTTATTATTATATACAAACTTATATTACCTGGTTAGATATCGCTTCCTGACTTTTATTTTTATACCTGTAGGATATGCTTTTAACACACAAAGTTAACGTGTTTTATAAGTTCAGGTAGATGTCCAGGAGTTTTCTTCTCGAGTGGTTTTGAAACACGACAGAGGCAGGTAGGGTGGGGGAGGTAGGGTAAGGTTGGTAGGCAGGCACTCCTCTCCACGCTCCAATATTTACTAGCCCGGTACCGACACATTCAGAGGTGTGGCCAGAGCTTCACTATCTCCCTAGTTTACCTCAGTGTGTGGGGATTATATTTTATTTTCATTTCTCCACGTGTTTGTATCCCCCCACCAATACCTGTCACCCATTAACCCTCCCATTTTCCGGTACATCAGCTTCTCGCCAAAACAGCTTCATTTTACCGCCAATTCAGCCACTTTTCTCATATATTTCCTCTCACACAGATTCACCCTTTAGTATGTTTTTTGTGGGTCACCGGAAGATTGGGGCTTCATCTCAAGATTAACCAACGAAACCCAACCTAACCTAACCTAAGCTAACCTAACCTAAGCTAACCTAACCTAAGCTAACCTTCTCGGGTAGCATTGAGGTGAAACATGTTGGAGGTGCCAATGTTCAGGTGATTTTTATTTATTTCTTTTTTTTTACATATTTCATCCCAACTTTTGCATGTGTTTGACACACTTAAATTGCCACATCACACCTTTGGGTCCTGTGTCAGTCAGTCATCAGCCCTGTGTTGGTCTGTGTCAGTCAGCCATCACTCGCCTCTCCCCTGGTAGTATTGCAGGTAATTCAGTCAGGTACAATAGGAGCCAGTCACCTGCCTTTACCCTAGCAGAGGAGTGACTAATCTCCATTGATGATTGGGCCTGGTGTTATGTGCTGCTGCAGGTAATACAAGACGCTATCGGGAGTGTTCATCTGCTGGGCTCACGTTTTATTTTTTCTTCATATATCACTTTGTGTGTGTGTGTGTGTGTGTGTGTAATAATGATAGTGTTGATTATTGTATCGTTAAGCTAAGTTTATTACGCTAATTCAGTGGTTCTCAACCTTGTTTGCCCCATGCACCCCTTTCACCATATGTCAGAATGTCATTCCCCCCTCCTTTCCAAGATTGTCTGCCTCAAATAGTGCATTCCAAATAATATGCATATAATACTGAAAAACCTTTATTTTTTCCATATTAGTACATATACATTTACAATTTTACATGGAATATTTTTATAGTGGAGTTTTACAAATTAAATGCCAATTGAAAATGTTGATGAATTTATCAAACTTGAATAAAAGTAAAATAGTTTTTTTTTTATTTATAATGAATTACTTAACAGACCAAACTGAAGCATAATGCAATAAACAAAAAGTTCAATAGAATACCAGGATATTGTAAATTTGTAATTAATTTTATTCAGATGAAGATTACAGTCAATGAGAAACCTGTGATTGTTTTTTCTTCGCCAATTCTGGGATACGCGGAGGAGTGCTTGAAAGGGCACAACGCAGGTCATTTTCTACCTCTAATCTACTACGTTGCTTCGTTTTAATTTGCAACAGAGTTGAAAAGCCTGACTCACAAAGATATGTCGACACAAACGGAAGCAATGCACGGATAGCTCTTTCTGCCACTTTTGGGTAGGAATCGCACATCAAGGGCCAAAATTCTGTGATTGATTTCTCATCGAACATATCTCTTGCTCCCGAATCAGTTTCCCCCCCCCCTCCCTGAAAACCTGAATTCCCCCCCTGGGGGGAATTCCCCCCTGGTTGAGAACCCCTGCGCTAATTAATTCAACACTACTAACGTATGTGATGAAGATATTGGCAATAATGATTAGTGACGTAAAAAGGGAACTATTTTGATGACGTCACTAATGAGGTTTTGACGGTAAATTAGCAGAACTCAATTAACTTGTGATTAGTGACGTAACAGAGGAACAATTTTGATGATGTCACAGTTCAAGGTTTAAGAATTTCGGATATGAATGATTACCTCTGTTGGTGGACACATGGGGCCACTCGTGTGTAATAAAAGGCCAAGTTTAATTACCGGTTACGTGGGTGTGAAGAAGGATTAGTGGAGGGTGATGTATGTTGTGGGGGGGGTAGCTTTGTCACTGATGGGGGTCACTTTTTAACATGGGGTATGTTTGTCATGGGGGTCACTTTTTAACATGGGGGTATGTTTGTCATGGGGGTCACTTTTTAACATGGGGTATGTTTGTCATGAAGTCCTTTTAACATGGGGTATGTTTGTCATGGGGGTCACTTTTTTTCACATAGGGGTATATTGTTTTGTTACGTCAGCTGTCCTGCATTTTGATAAGGTGGTTTCCATGGCAACTGGTACAATGAATCACGTGAAAGATTACACCCCCATCTAGCTTCTTGCTCCTGATAATTGCTTTAAACACCGTAAGGCTAACCCTGTCAGGTATCATTAAGACGTTTAATTATCACGTGGAAAAAAATTGGTGTGTCTAATTTTCAGGTGAAGTTGATTGGTTGGTAAGGGAGTCGTCACCGCCATTTTTTTTCAGTATATAATAGAAAAAAAAATATTTAAGAAAAAATTAAAAGATGAGACACGTTTTAAATACAACTGTAAATCATGAAAATGTAAATCAAGTATAAACACCAGTGTAAATTGGGAGGATGTAAACGTAGAAAATAACGTAAATCAAAACAGGAACTGAAGGGCGAGAAAAAAATATTTATGAAAAATTTAAAATAATTAAATGTTAATTGCTTAGCACGAAGACCTGAATAGTCGTGTGTGTGTGTGTGTGTGTGTGTGTGTGTGTGTGTGTGTGTGTGTGTGTGTGTGTGTTTATGGTGTGGAAGTGATTGGAGATTATGACCCTAGTGGTTGGTGATTAAGGCCCGGTGATTAGTGGTTATGGTCAGGTGATTAGCGAGGCAAGATTGACAACCATGAAATGTTGCATGAGTCACCTGGCCAACCTGTTAAGGGAAGATCATCAGGTGTGGTAATTAAAAGCTGCTTACCTGCCGTGTTAAGTTTGGTCAGCAGCAGAGGCTCTTAAGAAAGGGATTGGATACTAGTAACTGGGGATTGGAAACTAGTAACTGGGGACTGGACTCTAGTAACTGGGGATTGGGAACTAGTAACTGGGGATTGGAAACTAGTAACTGGGGATTGGAAACTAGTAACTGGGGACTGGATACTAGTAACTGAGGACTGAAAACTAGTAACTGGGGACTGGATACTAGTAACTGGGGATTGGAAACTAGTAACTGAGGATTGGATACTAGTAACTGGGGATTGGAAACTAGTAACTGGGGACTGGACTCTAGTAACTGGGGATTGGATACTAGTAACTGGGGATTGGAAACTAGTAACTGGGGACTGGACTCTAGTAACTGGGGATTGGGAACTAGTAACTGGGGATTGGAAACTAGTAACTGGGGATTGGAAACTAGTAACTGGGGACTGGATACTAGTAACTGAGGACTGAAAACTAGTAACTGGGGACTGGATACTAGTAACTGGGGATTGGAAACTAGTAACTGAGGATTGGATACTAGTAACTGGGGATTGGAAACTAGTAACTGGGGACTGGACTCTAGTAACTGGGGATTGGATACTAGTAACTGGGGATTGGAAACTAGTAACTGGGGATTGGAAACTAGTAACTGGGGATTGGAAACTAGTAACTGGGGATTGTAAACTAGTAACTGGGGACTGGATACTAGTAACTGGGGACTGGAAACTAGTAACTGGGGACTGGAAACTAGTAACTGGGGACTGGAAATTAGTAACTGGGGATTGGAAACTAGTAAATAGGAAGAAGTAACAAATTTCAACCCTGAGAAATGAGATAGAAAGCGGTAACAGAAAACGGAGAACGAGAACATATTGAAGGGGCATCTTAACTATTTCTTACCCATTCACATTACATTCTAACTTTTAAGTCCTTTAAAGACGAAAGGGTTAAACCATAGTCCTGAAAGGGTTAAACCATAGTCCTCATGTATTTAAACCGGGCTGATTAAAGGGGTTAAATCATTGTCTTAAAAGGGTTAAACCAATGCCCTCTTGTATTTAAACCAGGCTGATTAAAGGGGTTAAATCATTGTCTTAAAAGGGTTAAACCATCGTATATTTAAACCAGGGTGATTAAATGGGTTAAATCATTGTGCTAAAAGAGTTGAACCGTCATCATCAAAGAGTTTGTCATTCTCATCAAAGTGTTAAATCATCGTTATCAAAGGTTTATACCATCTTTATCAGGAGGAAAAAGTATGAGAAAACGGAGGGGCGAGAGAGAGAGAGAGAGAGAGAGAGAGAGAGAGAGAGAGAGAGAGAGAGAGAGAGAGAGAGAGAGAGAGAGAGAGAGAGAGAGAGAGAGAGAGAGAGAGAGAGAGAGAGAGAGAGAGAGAGAGAGAGAGAGAGAGAGAGAGAGAGAGAGAGAGAGAGAGAGAGAGAGAGAGAGAGAGAGAGAGAGAGAGAGAGAGAGAGAGAGAGAGAGAGGAGAGAGAGAGAGAGAGAGAGAGGAAGAGAGAGAGAGAGAGAGAGAGAGAGAGAGAGAGAGAGAGAGGGAGAGAGAGAGAGAGAGAGAGAGAGAGAGAGAGAGAGAGAGAGAGAGAGAGAGATATATATATATATATATATATATATATATATATATATATATATATATATATATATATATATATATATATATATATATATATATATATATATATATATATATATATATATATATAAGAGAGAGAGAGAGAGAGAGAGAGAGAGAGAGAGAGAGAGAGAGAGAGAGAGAGAGAGAGAGAGAGTCTCCATCACCGCGGACATTGATGAAGATATTCAGCATCGGATCAGATGTTCATCTCATGCCTTTGGTAGACTCCGTACCCGTGTCTTCAGCTGTAGGGAGCTCAAATTATCTGCAAAGTTACACGTATATCGAGCAGTGGTCCTCCCCACCCTGTTATATGGCAGCGAGACATGGGTCACATACAGGAGGCATATCGCTGGGAAGACAAGAGAACAAATGCCAGTACTCTTGCTGACACCAACTGTAGGAGCATCCAGGCTACCATTATCCATGAACAACTACGCTGGACTGGCCATGTTACCCGCATGGATGATAGTAGACTGCTAAAGCAGCTACTTTACAATCACTTAACGAATCGTAAACGTAACGCTGGCGGGGAACTGAAGAGGTACAAGGATAGTCTTAAGACAAACCTGAAAAAGTGCCAAATCGACCCCCTCACCTGGGAGACGATTACTCCACACCGTAACGCTTGGAGGAACACCACACAAGGTGTCAATACTTTTGAGTTAGCCCGACTGCATAACGAGGCAGACAAGCACCAACGCCGGAAAGACGCTGCCGCCGTCCTCCAGCACTAGAAGCAGCCCTTCACATGTGCAACATCTGTGAACGACTCTGCCTGTCCCGTATCGGCCTCTTTAGTCACTTCAAAGCTCACCAATGAAGGTGACATCCTTAATAACTCGTATCATAGCTGGATGGTTGTTATACTGGATTCCGAGTGACAGCGAAGTATTAGTAGTAGTGTGTGTGTCTGTGTGTGTGTGTGTGTGTGTGTGTGTGTGTGTGAGTTACGTCGAGCTTGACATTTTTTCTCTGGCTTATTTTGTTGAATCTAAATACTCGAAAACGCATAAGTTACATAAAGCGACACAACAACATGTAAGAGGAGCTGGAAGAAAGGTCACTACTTAAAAAAGAATCATTTCAACCACTATGAGCTGACAAGAGTTGTAATGCCTTTCCTGGTGACTGTCATTACGGAATGTTATTTAGTGAACGACAGATATGAGAGCTCTACCATTTGAACACTACTGCTCTATATATCTGTTCTCTCTGCTGTTTGAAGGATCTTAATTAAAAGTTGATAATTTTTCTTGTGTGAAAATCTCTCGTGGTGCTTGTGCCAATTGAAGGTCAAATGAATCCCAACCTGACGTGACCTAATCTCCCAACCTGACGTGACCTAATCTCCCAACCTGACGTGACCTAATCTCCCAACCTGACCTGACCTAATCTCCCAACCTGACCTGACCTAATCTCCCAACCTGACGTGACCTAATCTCCCAACCTGACGACCTAATTTCCCAACCTGACGTGACCTAATCTCCCAACCTGACGTGACCTAATCTCCCAACCTGACGTGACCTAATCTCCCAACCTGACGTGACCTAATCTCCCAACCTGACGTGACCTAATCTCCCAACCTGACGTGACCTAATCTCCCAACCTGACTTGATCTACTCTAACCTAACTTGGCTTGACCTTATCACCAATGGTTGTGACACGTACGTGACGTCTTCACTAACTTCTGTGACGTAAGCATCAACTGCTGTGACGTCATCACCAACAGCTGTGACGTCATTAAACTGTGACGTCTTCACCAGGCTTGTGACGCCTAGGAGGGTGCTAGGTAGTGAGGAATATTCACCATCACAGAAGAAAACTGCTTGATCTCGTGATAGCTGAGGACATGAGCAATATCGGAGGAATCATTTTGAAGGCTGCACTTAAGGGTCATAACTTGAGGTTGAAGGAGTAAGTTGGTGGAGGAAAAGGTAAGAGATGTGAGTCATAGCTGAGGTCTTGAAGGATAGTTAATGTGGCGTGAACAACTAACTGCTGGTTGTCGGGGAAGTAAGATGGAATTCCCTCCTTACCTCACCTGACTGTTCCTGACCTGACCTGACCTAACGTAACCTAACCTAACGTAACTTTTTTTCTGACCTACCGTATCACAATCCAACATAATCTAACCTAACCTTACGTAACCATTTCTGACCACCCACGGACGTTTGGTTTGGTTTCGGCTAGGGTGGTTAGAACTTAACCTAACCTAACCTAACCCTGGCTCAAACGTCCGCGCACTAGTTAGACCCCAGTCGTATTGCGTGGGCCACATATTGTAAGCGAGTGTTACAAATTGATTTAATCACTGTATAAATGACAATTATTCAACGGGCAGCCAGTAAAGGAGTTAGTGGTGCTAAAGACTGCAGCAGGTTGAGTCGCCATCATGGTGAGGGCGTTAGCTGGGTGGATAATCCCGGATATCTCGATACGGACCATAATCGAGAAACTAAGATCGACTTGTTATCGTCCAACTGTCACTTAAAGTTGGTGAGTTGAACCGGTGTTGTTGTTTTGGTTTGGTTTTTGGTCATACATCGCCATCTTTATTATAAACACGGGCGATAAGTACTGTAAGGGGTGGGCGAGGGGGTGTGAGGGCTCGAGGGCGTCAAGTGTAAGGTATAAGGGGCGTCGTAGCTGTTGTCCCGGGAGTCACTGTGGGGCGATACACGGATCCTTCACCCCGCTAAATGGGGACCTTCGTCTTAGTAAATTGGTGGGTCCATCTCACCTACGGTCAGGGTGCAGATAATCCGATCTAATATTGGTGATCAATTGTAGGTGGAGGAGTGGTGTACGGCTCTTGTTTTTATCACGGGGTGCTTGAAGGGGCCTCACTCCTGTGGTCAGCTCCTTGATGGGTTTTTGCCCATGAATGGGTTAATGGGCGTGGTGAGGGCGCCTTGTCGACTGCCGCGTCTGAAGTCCTGTGAGGTTTATATACTTGTCGAGCCAACAAGGGCAGCCTCCGCAGTCGTAAGTCTCACTCTCTCTGTTTACTGTGTGTGTGTGTGTGTGCGCGCGCGCGCTTCAATATGTGTGTGCGTGTGTGTTAATTTGTTTACGTGTATATCTTGCATTATGTATGCGACTGCGCACCTGTGTGTATGTGTGTGGTATGTACCCAGACACACGGTGAAAAACCAACGTTAGCAGCGCCCCGGGGAAGCGTCGCGGTAATCACTTTCTACTTGATGCCAAACACCAGTGATTTCCCGCCGCCCGACCACCACTTGTCCTGTCCTGGTGGCCCACACTGCACTCCAACACCATATACACTGTACCACCATCATCATATACCTGCACCATACACTGTACCACCATCATCATATACCTGCACCATACACACTGTACCATCATCATCATATACCTGCACCATACACACTGTACCACCATCATCATATACCTGCACCATACACACTGTACCACCATCATCATATACCTGCACCATCACCATATACAGTGTACCACCATCATCATATACCTGCACCATACACACTGTACCATCATCATCATGTATCTGCACCATCACCATACACACTGTACCATCATTATATACCTGCACCATACACACTGTACCATCATCATCATATACCTGCACCATACACACTGTACCATCATCATCATATACCTGCACCATACACACTGTACCACCATCATCATATATCTGCACCATGCACACTGTACCACCATCATCATATACCTGCACTATCACCATATACACTGTACCACCATCATCATATACACTGTACCACCATCATCATATACACTGTACCACCATTATCATATACCTGCACTATCACCATATACACTGTACCACCATTATCATATACCTGTAGTACCACCATACACACTGCACCAACACCACCATACACACCACTACCACAATACCCACAACCACCATCACCACCATACACACCATCACCACCATACACACGTACATACATCATTTCTCAACAATTATATCACAATACTTTAACAACTACGGTCTCTTAACTACCGGAGACCTAGTTGCTGTGGTCCTGTCTGGCCAATAAGATGATAATGATGATGATGAACTACCCCGCCCCTGTTTAGGTGTAATGACGTAATTTATCGACCAATCACAGTCTTTCCCTCCAAATGCCCCGGTGACTAATTACTGACGGGGGAAGTATACTAAATATCTCTCTCTCATATTTGACGATTTCAAGGTACAACTGATAACACACACACACACACCCACACACACACACACACACACACACACACACACACACACACACACACACACACACACACACACACACACACACACACACACACACACACACAGACACACACACGTCACTCCAGTAGTACAGTGGGATACGTATTCTGAACCGCAAGATCCTCCACTGATAACACAACGTTCAAGTATTGATTTTTTTATTTTTTTTTTACCAAATCTCTTCAATGATATGATAATGAGGACAAAATTCCCATCAAATGCGATTTATATTAAAGGTTTTATGCGCTGTTGGGTTAGGTTAGGTTAGGTAGGTTGGTGTTAGGTTGTGTTTGGGTTGAGTACTGTTGGCTAGATTAGATTGAATTGGGTTGTTTTTGGTTTGGTTAGGTTAAGTTTGGTTGACTTGAATTGGGTTAGTTTGTTTTGGTTTGGTTCAGTCTTATGTGCAGTGGCGGATAATTTTTTTTTTTCATTGTCCTTCATTAAAAAATTAGAGTCAAGGAGAGAACACGTTGTACTGGGTCACTTAAGCTACACGACGAAGACGATGACCAATATGGCATCCAAGTTACACCGAGACTACTGTTCTCTTATCTTGGTTGGGGAATAAAATTATCTGAATTTTTTCAATATACATATTTTATTTTTTGGATGAGTCCAGTTTTACTCACCAGGCGTGTAAGAGTCCTTCAGTTTTACTCACCAGGCGTGTAAGAGTCCTTCAGTTTTACTCACCAGGCGTGTAAGAGTCTTTCAGTTTTACTCACCAGGCGTGTAAGAGTCCTTCAGTTTTACTCATCAGGCGTGTAAGAGTCCTTCAGTTTTACTCACCAGGCGTGTAAGAGTCTTTCAGTTTTACTCACCAGGCGTGTAAGAGTCCTTCAGTTTTACTCACCATGTGTGTAAGAGTCCTTCAGTTTTACTCACCAGGCGTGTAAGAGTCCTTCAGTATTACTCACTAGGCGTGTAAGAGTTCTCCAGTTTTACTCACCAAACGTGTAAGAGTCCTCCTGTTTGACTCACCAGGCGTGTAAGAGTCCTCCAGTTTTACTCACCAGGCGTGTAAGAGTCCTTTAGTTTTACTCACCAGGCGTGTAAGAGTCCTCCAGTTTTACTCACCAGGCGTGTAAGAGTCCTTCAGTTTTACTCACCAGGCGTGTAAGAGTCCTTTAGTTTTACTCACCAGGCGTGTAAGAGTCCTTCAGTTTTACTCACCAGGCGTGTAAGAGTCCTTCAGTTTTACTCACCAGTCGTGTAAGAGTCTTTCAGTTTTACTCATCAGGCGTGTAAGAGTCCTCCAGTTTGACTCACCATGTGTGTAAGAGTCCTTCAGTTTGACTCACCATGTGTGTAAGAGTCCTTCAGTTTTACTCACCAGGCGTGTAAGAGTCCTTCAGTATTACTCACTAGGCGTGTAAGAGTCCTCCAGTTTGACTCACCATGTGTGTAAGAGTCCTTCAGTTTTACTCACCAGGCGTGTAAGAGTCCTCCAGTTTGACTCACCATGTGTGTAAGAGTCCTTCAGTTTTACTCACCAGGCGTGTAAGAGTCCTTCAGTATTACTCACTAGGCGTGTAAGAGTTCTCCAGTTTTACTCACCAAACGTGTAAGAGTCCTCCTGTTTGACTCACCAGGCGTGTAAGAGTCCTTCAGTTTTACTCACTAGGCTGTAAGCGATTCCTCCAGTCTTAGTAGTAAGGCGTGTAACATGATCCTTCACTCGTGTGTGTGTGTGTTAAGGACAGGAGAGCTGCCTCAGTGATCACAGCCTAATATGGTGGTGGACCGTCCGTGGTCTCCCTGCCCGGTAATGACAGGGGCAACACCTGGTAATGACACACCTGCTGGCCGTTTGTCGTGACGCAACATAGTATAACACCTAAACTTCCCTCCCCCTTTATACTGACCGTCCATTAGATATCGTAACAACAGTAGCGTTTTTGTTGACGTCATGAGAGGGAATCCGGGTTACTCCCAACACCAATTATTTCTGTGTTGTTTTTCAGTTTGATATAATTGTGATTTATACCGGATTCTGTGCTTTGTTGTTGTGGAAACCGAATTATTATTTTTTTATGAGATCCATTGTAAAATCCATTTTTGAAAAGAAAAAACAAAAACAATTAACCTTTACTCATATTTCATAAGTCTCCCCTGTAGAAAACGGGAAGAGAAGAACAGTGGAGAAACTCTGAAAAAATTGATCTTATATTGATATCCTATAAACTAATCCTTGATGAGTGGGTCACCAAAATATTTCTCTGTCCACTTAATTTTACGACGTCGATGTTTTTCAGTCTCTAATTTGCCTAAGTGACAGATGTGTTTATGGTGTTTCATTCCTTAAAATCATAGCACAATATTGTCCACTAACAAGAAGAGGAAATAAAACACAATAGTCAAGACAGTTCGTTAATATCATTCTACGTTGACGAGAAATTTACAGAAGGTTTTAAAAGATCACAAAAGAAGTTCGGTGATCATTTGTAAGGTGGTCAAGGGGAGATGGTCGAACACAGAGAACTCTTAATAACGTTTGGCAGTATTTGTTTAACTGTGTATCCGAGTTATGGATTATATTGTTATTACGATCACTTGAAGGAGTTATTACATACATATACA